AGGGCAGCACACGGTGCGATCGCGCGACCCTGCACGTGAGCAATCTCCCAACTCATCTCTGGTATTTGTACATACAGAAATGAATTGGAAGATTGCTCATGGGCAGATCGCGCTGCCCTCGATGGAGAATGTAGGAGACTGACGGACTTGCCTCCAACGGTGGTCCAACCCAGGGATACAACTCATCTCTGCTCCTATCATACAAAAAAACACGAGCTAAGTGGAACCACTCACGCAGATATTTGCGGACCGGTGGTTTCCAACAATAGTTGGACTGTACATATAAATATGAATGTAATACATATTTAGAAAATATAGATAGACTCGAGTCCTCTTCTTCACTTTTGACGGCTTTCCATCTTCCCGCCTTTTTGCCTATTTAATCCACTACCTCTCAACAATTTTCGGTTTACAAGGTATGTACCTTTATTTAAAATATTACTAGACCGGAAGTGCTAGTGATCTCGTTCTTTCATATAGCGAATGCGTAATTCGGCGAATAAACCCACGTGAGATGAAAGTGTGAGAAGGGAGCGCTCTCATCAAAAGTACGTAATAAACGCACTGATTTGTATAAATTCATATTCCACGCATGTGTTTTAAGATGGAAAATTCAAAACAATCTGAAAATCCATAAAATTAGAAAAGAATAGTAGAGAATGCCCATGTTTCATATTTTGTAACTCTCGTGAGTTGTTGCCACCTAGCGTCCAGGCACCGAACCAGATCCCCAAATAGCACAGCTTTGTTGCACAGTTTAAACGTTACCGACCAGTACCTACTTATTCGAGAACTCTATTTTTCCTACTTCACCTAGTCCTCACCAAAGCTATTCAGCTATTTTTAGCTGCTTGATAAGCTTGATAAGCGATATTCGTCCGCAAAGGGTTAATAGATCCATAGGAATCACAGAGAGAAAGTTTAATTTGAATCATTGATTCTATCCCGAAGTCCTCGGTGTTCTCGCGGAAATTTGTAATTCTGAAATAAAATATATAGATATATATATATTTATTTATTCATCTTCCGTATATAATTTCTTCTCTTTTTTTCTCCATAAAGCAGTAGCATTATAACACATTTAGAAGTTTCTTGAATATATAAATACAAGGTGGGGGGACGTTACGTCTAAGAAAATGTACATCGATACAGTAACTATTATGTATATATAGTACAATAAAAAAGCGGATAGTAATAGTCGTAGTAGTAATCGTTTGAAAATATGTACACACGCGTTTGCGTCTAGCTGCGTACTTAGTAATCGACGAGTTACAATGTAAACTACATAACACCGGTATGCCTTCGCATACAGAAGAATACATTGATACAAACGAACATCGCGCATCTACTTACACCGTTTCTCTACTTACTCCAACGATACATATACAGTACGTACACTCGTTACTTTACAGAATCGCGGAATTGCCCACGATCAGAAGAGTGAGCTTAGCCACGTTCTCAGTGCTCTATTTAAAATAGTATATGTACAAGACCGTGTACCGTCCACCGCGTTTCCACTCGCAACTAAATAAAGTTAAAGGACGGTACGCCCAGGCACGAGTATATCGGCCGTTACTTTTGGAAGAATTATAGAATAACTATTATACATTGGTGCATATTAAATAGTCGTACGTCGGTCAGGTCGAAGGCCCGTTAAAGTAGTGCCTGAACGTACATCGTTCGTCCTAGCTTGTGTAACGCACAGGTATCGAGAATACACATAGATTTCCCTGAGACTGATTATAAGGATTACAAGTATGTTTACAGCGCTCAAAGAAACATTTTGTAGTGAACGTAAACTTAAGAAGCTCTACGAGGCGCTCCGAGATCCCGCTGCGACCCCATTTTGTTTTAATCTACCGTGGACGTTGTGGACCTCGTATCAAGAATAAGTACGCGGTTTCATACTTGTCGTTTCAGTCTAACTTTCGACTCGCAAATATATCATTTCATTCGATTTCATTTAATCGACTATGCCGTGTTCTCTCGGTCTCTCGACCTTCCCCACCGGCCAATTATAACGAAATCAACGAGAAAGTTAAATTATTAGGTCGGCTGGATACGTTATTGCACAGAGAATTTTGCTTGATCGTTCAATCGATATTGCCCTTAAATGATTACTACTACTCCAGGTGAAAACCTTATACACGAATCATTGAGAAATATTTCAAACCGATTTAACTGAATTTCAATTAATTTCATTAACTTACGTACGCGTTACATGTAGTCCTTCAATTTCAAAGCTTTGTGTTAGTAGGACGTTACGCGACAAGTAAAAAGACTTGGGAAGAAATGTCAATATCTTCGTTTATTTGATATTCGTTAGTTCCTTTACGATTCTAATGTAACGTTCTAACATAACGTTAGTAATTCAATTCAATAGCAGTGCGTTTAAACAAGGATTTATCGTTTTAGTAGATTCAAATTAGAATCTCGAATCTAGTCGAATAGGTACATCTAAAGCGTACACACGTTTGTTAAGAGATATAACTTTTTCACCTGAAAAATCCTCAATTGCGTTACCCACTCGTCAACGAGTTTTTCGCTAACTCACTTCGAATTGCACTTCCCAACTTAATAAATGCTCCTTAGCGCCAACGCGATTATGCATCTACGGAGGAAGCCTACAAAACTAGCAAAGTCGAACGTAATTTACAGAGTCTCGAGCAACAAGAAAGAACAATATAAATGGCAACTAAAGTAAAAAGTGGTAACGTGGTAGCAAAACGATTCGATGCCGAAGTCGCGTTTTCGCCTGTTCAAATCGCAACGGATATCGCAGCGACGTTCTAAAACAAAGTGCGTACCAAAGCGAAGTTTTAGCTTAATCAGACTCGTCCGTTAACTCGTCGATCAGGATAAGTCTAGTCGAAAATTAATCGTTATTCTCCACGCCAACCTACTCCACGATCGAGTGTCACTTGAATTATCGGGACCCTCTTGGTTCACCGCGACGTACGGTACTTTCATGAACGTATGCCTAAGTATGTACGCTTGTAGTAGTCTAAGAAAAAAAAAAATTTCACGCAGTTCATGCTAATCGAGCGACCGGCCTCTCGACCTCCTACCCATGAAAGACAGAGCATGGACACCTCGCTAAAATTCGCTCCCCCGAATGTACGTGCATCCTATTGTCGTAGCGGCAGTTTCCCTCTAAAAAGCGTTTAAGATTAAAATCCGTATTTAACCAGCCACTAGGCATGTTAATAAAATATCGTCCTCCTATGGATACATCTCGAATAAATACTCTTACATAATGTCACAGATTTCTGCTTTGTTGTCCTCTCACTCTTGTCCAAGTTAAACCTAAACCGTGTCTTTCTGAACCTCCCTCATTGCATTAGAATTGCACGGTCCTTATAATATACGTTTATCGTTAATATTGTGTACCTAGTGCCTCGTGTTTTTACGAAACATGCCTCTCGTGTGCGATGCAGACATTGGGCGCGCACGAGGTTGAAAGAGAGTCTTAAAGGTGCACTCCACCAGAATGCAACATTGTTCCTTTGAGAACCGAGACAGGGAGCTACAAGAATACTTTTCCGCCCTTGGGGCCAAGATGACAAAGCTGAATTCGCCAGATTTTTAAAGACACTCAGAAATCATGGCTGACGTCTGACTGGTTCAGCTAACTTCCTGGTGAAACATTGCAGGATCGATAAAAGGCTGCCATTTACGTTTTTTTTGTTTATCTATTATGGTATAACAGCTCCCACGAGATCGCAAAAATTGTTCTAGGCTATCCGTAGATCGTTCAAGACATTGTCGAAGTCAATCAGAAGCCACCTCTTGATCACTAGCTTGTTAGCGAGTCTTTAAAAATATTGAAATCCATAACGATACGTTAGAATTTGATAGTCATTTTAGTAAACGATAGGTATGTGTCAGTGTGTCTGTGTACTATATGTGGGATTGGATTAATCCAGGTCATCTCGTGCCAAAATGCTCTTCTCGAGTACCAGAACATTTAACACAGTTCTATTTCTTTAGGACTAGGACTATAGTTGGGATTCCATTAAATGAGCTTCCGTTAGAGAGTTCCACTGAACAAGAACAACCTAACACAATGAAACGATGTGTCAAGTCGTATTCTTCTTTTGACTAATTCTTGAGCGTGATCGATATCCAGTTGAAGAGAGGTCGACATTAAGTTGAAGCAATATCTTGTCCCACTTCGGATTTATGAAGTGCTCGAGATTTAGCAGACTTCACTTTATTCTTGTATAGTCGAGTAAATATATGAAGATTTGAATTGCATACGTATCGCGAGTATCGATACAACATCTTAATGAGAACTCTTCGTCTCTCTTGCTTTGGCCTAAGTCCGCACTTATTAACCATGAAGCCTGGCGGATTACAATTACCCTGTCGAATCTTAACCTTCCTCATCTTCAACACTTTTCTTTACTTGCTCTGTCTAATATGTGTCTGTCTAATCCTATCTTTAAGCGAAACTTGTTCATCAATCTGCAGACAACTCGGAAACATTAGCAACTTCACTTTCCTTATAAAATTCTAAGGATCCATCGCATAAATGTTCTTCCTTTAGTTCTGTTTCCGTTAATTTACTCTATTCGCTCGCTTTCATGCGAGACCGAAAGAACTTTGAATTTAATTCGAGCCTCATCCACTGGAAGCTGAGAATCCAGAATCCCTTGACATCGGGTATCTGAATTGCAACGCAGTTCCATTACTTCGGACATAAGTAAATTGTCTATCAGGATTCAGTCAGTCGAGTTGCGATTACCCTGACGCTTCTTGACTAATTTTTCCTTCTTCAGCAATCCAGTCTTTTCATCGACTTTCTGCAGCACCGCGTTCTTTACATCGATTTTCTTCGTGGATTCCTTAATAAGGATCGACGTCGACGGGTTGGACCTTGGGGAAGATCCCCCAAGCGATGGTTCTTGTCACCTCAAGGTGATGAGCACGCGCTCGACATTCAACAATGATCTCACCTTCTCGCTGTATTTGATTAGAGTTACTTTCGAACCGCGAACGTTGATTCTCTCACCACCGCTCAGCAGGTGACAACATCGGGACTGCTCCAGGAAGTCTGGAAGCTTCAGCTCTCTCATTACGTCTCGATGAGCTATCGCTGGTGGTCCCGAAGAAGCTTTCGGATTGATCTGTCGTAACAGAGCGTCGCGACTCTTGACGCGTAATGCTGCCATTAAATCTTGCAAAAGCACCCATTTATCAGGATCGTTGGTCAATGAAAAGAGGGCTGGGAGGCTGATGTCGCTGACTTCCATTTCGATCTCGTCGACCTGAGGCTCAGGAGTCTCCATTGGTGGATCCTCTAATGGATTGTAACCCGTCTCCTCAGGGTCTGCCAGAGAAAGATCATTTAATTAAGCTAGAACATCATTATTTCCATCTTTTATACAGAATACGAAAGTTTCTCACCAAAAATCGATGCTGGACCACCGAAGTTCCAAGGTGTGTTGGTACGTCCTTGTACATCGTCTAGATGCTGTTCAAGTATCGAGTATGCGTCAGTGTCCACTGCTAACATCAATGGGGTTTGTCCAGAGTATGTTGCCAATAGTGGATCAGCACCATAAGAGAGCAGTAGTCGAACGAGTTCGGTAGCACCGTTTTCCGCAGCTTCGTGAAGTGGCCTACAAAGAACACAGAAAAGAATTTTAGTTCTTTTCTACTGGACTGTGAATGATTGTAATAGTGAAAACTATCAAGAAGTTCGGTCGAGTCTCGCACCAAGTACTGGGTCTACATTTACCTTATACCACCATTAGCACTTTCACTTGCGTTCGCTCCGTAAGCTAATAAGAGCCTTGCGATTTCAAGGTGGCCTCGGGAACACGCTTCATGAAGAGGAGTATACCCCGCATTATCTTTAGGACTTGGTGCACTGTTCAGCTTTTCCAGGCAATAGGCGGTTACGTCCTATTATTAAATAATAAAGTAATCGTGAGTCATTCTCTCTTCGTATCATGAATATCTCCAATTTCACATTTAACAAGGACTATTTTCTTACCGTATATCCAAGTCTAGCAGCTCGATGTAAAATCGTCTCTCCAACTCCTTTTTTAATGACCCACGTTCTGATTTCAGACTGAATATCTGCCACGCTTTCTGGGCTCGGTCTAGTTATAACCTGCACGATATAAAAATGGAACAGTAAAATTACGGTACGCCAAAATATCCCACATCAATTCATCTCATAATTCTAAATGACGTTCTATACATACCCTTTTTCTTTCCTTCGGAGGAACTTCGTCCTTCTTCAGAGGTTTCTTCTTCTTCCTGATATAATCAAACCCGGAACGGAATTTCCGTCGTCCAGTTCTCAGCTTCAGCTTCTTTTTACTAGGAACTTCCGTCTCGTCAGCGTTATCAGCCTCGGGCTCATTATTCTCTGCCTCGTGAGCGTCATTTGCATCGTCTCTCGTCATCGAGGTATCTTCTTCTTCCTCCTCTTCCTCGTCGTCCTCCTCCTCTTCCTCCTCTTCAGCCTCGTTTTTCAGGTTCTCGAGTTTTTTCTCTGCCAGGGATTTCAAAAGGTCCTTCCGCCTCTTTGAAATCAACAAATGCCGCTTCGAGTTAACAATGGCTTTGTGGCTCCGCAGCATACCGGCGTTCCATAATCTGGATACGACCTTCTGCTTCAGGGTCCTTGGTCTCCCTAAAATGCGATCCGGCGCATCATTTTGCGAATCGTCATCCTGCGAGGTATCTCCCCGAGTGGCAATGGGTGGTGCCGAGGCTGGTCTATCTTCCCCAAAAACTTCCCTTATAGTTGCTTGCTTCTTCAGGACCCTGGTCTCCGTCCTCGTCCTACTTTTCAATATAAACGTGGAGAACTCATTGGGCAAAGCGTGATTATTCTTAAAAGTGTCTCGGAAGTTGTTCACCGTTTCTTTGCGGAAGTAGCCAAGAAGATAGGAGTCGGTGACGTTGATAGGTTTGGGCGACTTGTTGTTCTTAACGGGAGTCTTGCCTTTTGTTTTCGGTGAGGTTTCATTGCACAAAAGTGGCGTAAGGCTCGGGGTAGGCAGTAGTTCCGGCTCGTTACTACCTCTAGGTAACGTCTTCGTACCCTTTTCCAGTTTATCTTTTGCTTGCTTCTTCTTTTGATCCCTTTTACTGGTACCGACTTTCTGCACCAAGAGATCGACTATGGAATTACTTTCGGAGCGTCTACCGGTAGTTTTTGGTGGACAGGATATGGTGGTGGACGAAGTAGCTTCCTCGTCGTCGACCTTGCTGCCGATACCAGCTATACTAAAACTACTGTTAGAATCTAAATCGCTGTCGATCACTCTCTTCCTGGTTAGACAAACGTCGGAACTGTCCATGGAGATGGACAAAGCTGGAGATCCGGGATCAAGATCCGGTAGAGAGGTCGACAGTCGGTGAAACCTCGAAGGTTTCGATACCGTAATTAGTCTCGTTGGCATTCTTAGGGATTTCTTATATACGTATACTTCTTCCTCCCAGCCAGGCCGGAAGTCGCTACCATCTCCGAACAACGGCTTGGGCTTCGACTTTTGCGAAGCACCACATTTGGACGACGAAGATTTCAGTTCCTTGTCGCGTTTACCTTTCTGCGGAGTGGTATCCCTCGAGCGTAATTTCATTCGTTCATTTTCCGCATTTGCAGCCGATCTCTTCCTAGCTCGAAGTCTATCGGCAACCGAGGAACAGTTGCCGAATTCAGTGCTAGCGTCGCTCTCTTCGCTGGAGCTTTCGCTACCACTGGAAGATTCTAACTTAATCCTACTACCTCTACGGACTCTTCGTTTCCTGCATATGATTTCGTCTTCGCCATCGCTCTCCTCCTTTTTCGTTTTCATTTTCTGGGTCCGATGAATCAGCGGCAATTCGTCGGAATCATCTCCCGAGTTCTTGTCCATTGTCTCTTCCTTGACCTCTACCTTTTCCTTTGATTCGGGTTTAACCTCCACCTTGACCGCGGTTTCAACTTGCTTATCTTCCTTAACGACCGGCTCCTCCTTTTCCACGGACGGCTCGGCATCTTGGACCTCCTGCTTGATGTCCTCTGGTTTGATTTCTGGTAACTGCGTGACGTCGGAGTCTTTGTTCGGTTCGCTATCGGGCTCCGTTTTTGATGGCACGGTGGTGTCACCCTTTTTCCGACGACCACGCTTCTTCATCGCGTCGCCGCTTCGTAACTGTTCCATGAACTTATCACAAGTTGTCGCCCAAAGGGGGTCCAGCGCGGTAACTTTATCGTTTTCCTGGTGAACAATAAAACACGGCCCTGTATTTGCGATGAACTCTAGGATACGAGGTTACAGGCTCGAGATTACGATCTCCTCAAACTTACCTTAAGCTCTATCTTTACGAGGTCCAACGAGGATGCCATTCCGATGCACATCGCGTCGTTAAGCGATACCGGTGGCTGAACCTTCGACAGCTGCTTCCGGTCCCTCCTCATCTCCTCCAAAGTCTGCCTCTCCAAGACCGGCATTTCGCCCTCGGAATCGCTTTCCCGAAAGTCGAAGACCGAGGTTTCCGAGGAACTTCTAAAGCCACTGGCTCGAGGCGGTACCGTCGACGGTACCGCAGCGACCGGGACCGGAACCGGAATCGTTGCCGCAACCGGCATGTTTTCTTCGTCCGTTCTGGAGAACAAACGTCTCCTGGGAGGCAAACACGCGGTCTTTTCTCTCGTCAGTTTCGGGGGACTCCCCGCTGACGATCCGGATTGAGACGTGGAAGTCGAGGCAACGATCTCGTGATCTAAAAAAAAAACTCACGTCATTTCCAATCTCAGTCCAACCTCGAAAACGAGATTTAGAAGCTACCAGAGGACGCGGATTTTACGCGAAAACAACCGGAAGCTTCTGTTTTAATCCAATGCAAAATTTATTAAGGCAATGTTACCTTTAGGTGTTACGGAGGAATCTTGGGACGGAACTGACATAGGTTTCGCGATAAACTGACCCGTTCCCACCTGCAAATTTCGTATGAAAAGATTACATATTACATGAAAATTGCGTTTGACCCTTAATCTCGGCTATATGTCCTGTTTTCATAGAACTTTCAATGATATCGAACCTGCTTAAGCTCAGCTTTCGTCCTTATCTTCGCCGCCAATATGGCGGCAAGTCCATCATCCTTGTCCCGGTGTATTTGATTTTCGGCACCACGAGGACCGAGCAGCGTTTCCTTGCCAGGTAACGTAGCCGACGAATTTACTTTAGAGGCGTACAAGCTCCTCGGTGCTTCTTGGGTGATGGAATCTACGGCTCTTGGCATGTGAAACTTGTAATGAGGAGGTGTGTTGCTATTACGTTCCAGCAGACTCGCTGCCGTAAACGGTGACAGGTTGTGTCTGCCAATGTTCGTCTTGGGCTCGACAGGGGCGACCACCTTAAAGAACATACCAAGCAGTATAGTATTTTCTCTACCCAATTTCCAAGACTTTTGCGTCACTTATACAATAACTAGCATCCCCCATCGTGGCTAAGTGCAACTTATTGACAAAGATCACAACTTCACTCGTAAGAGAAGCTCCATGATAACTTGCCATCCAATGGATACGCTGGGAACTTCAAAACCAAGTCAATATTTCAGCGAGCTTCAGAGATATTAAGAAATTTGTAAACTCGCATTTTACTCCTTTCACCCCCTTAGGGGTTGAATTAAAAAAATTCCTTAGTGACTACCTACGTATCTATATATAAATATTCACACCTAATTAATTATATATAAATAAAATATAAATCGATATCCAATGCTTACCTTGTTCTGGAAGCTCTGCTGGCTGTGATTAACGAGTATCGGCTGTTGACTGTTGAGCTGCTCCTCGCGTTGCTGCTTGTTCTCGAGACTGTTCCTCAGGAGGCTGAGGACCCTCTTATCGGCGCCCGTGTTGATAGGCTGATCCACGGGTTGGACGGCCGGTACCCTCTGGTTCTGTCTATAGCCCTGATAAGACGCCTGGCTGGCAGAAGGTTGACCAATGACCTGGACACCGGGTGCCTTCGACGATGGATGAGAATAGGAAGGAGAGCTCCGCGCCATCTTGGCGTCCGGATAGCTCCTCTTATCACAGTAAGGTTGATATCGCTGGGACTCCGTGGGGTAGGAATTGTCCGGCTGCTTCTGTTCGTAAACAGGAGGGACCCCAACGGTTCCATTAGCCAAAGCCCCGGGTAGGTTCATCTCCTGCCTCTGCTGTTGCTCGCGAATGGCGCGCGCGGCCGAGATCCTCTGTTCGATTTGTTGATCAATGATCATCCTCCAGGTGTCCAGTCGCGGTTGCTTGGAGGGTCCGCCATACGCGGTCTCCCCAACCCGCTTGGACGGAGCTCGATCTCTCGGCTGAGGCTGGGGGAACCTGCTCCTGTCAAGGTAATACTTCGACGGGTCGGACGGGTAGTCTTGCATCGGCAGGGACGTCCTGGCAGCGTCCGCCGTGGGATACCTCGAAGACCTGGCGGCGTTATTTGGATGGTAAGGGGTATTTTTATCGTAAACGGGCACCGTGGGCAGTGAGCTCTTCTTGAAGGTGGACATGTGCGGTAGCGGTGCGGTCGCCGCGGGACTGACATGCGGTCCCGGGGCGTAGAGTTGCTGAGAGACGCTTCTCCTGAGGTTTTCGTGGCTCGACGGCTGGCCGGGATGATGAAGAGGCGTTGAATTGAAATCCGGCAAAAAGTCCACCTTCGGAGCGCACACGGTCTGCGGCGTGGACACGCGAATGCACCCAGGCCCTCTGTTACCGTCGGCGGTGCGAGCGTCCATTGTTGGGTAAGGTGCTCCAGGTGGAGGTTGAACGGGCGGCAGCATCGTCCTGCCGTTACTCCTAGAGGATACATTAGTGCTCGTGACGTGTTTCTCGGTGCCGGCCGTGGCGTCGAGGTCGTCTTGGGCGGTGGAGTCGGCAGGAGTCTTCACGGTCTTGACCGAAAGGTCCAGAGGCGACTCGCGCTTCCTGCCGGGCATTCCTCCGTTTGTCTGCGCGGACGTGGACATCGTCACGGTCCCCGTGGGCACCGACTGACTGGTCGACGAGCCGGTGTAACTATACTCTTTGTACCCATAGTTATCAGGGTGCAAATTGGGATAAGGCGCCGCCGGCCTGTTCGCAGGATTGGATGACGGATATGCGTGAACCGGCGTGGCCACAGGTTGCACGGACGTTCGGGACGTCCCTATGCAGGTTACCGTGATGTTTGCGGAATTGCTGCCATGATGGCTGGGAGCGATCGTGGTGGCGTACTGTGGGTACCCCTGGCTGGAGAACCTACCATAGGCAGAGTTCGGAACGATAGTGGTTCTGCCGTTGATGGGCACCGCGTGGTCGACGACGGGGGCCACGGGGTACTCCGAGAGCCGCTGCTGAACCTGCGAGGACATCACCGAGGACGCTTTGCCGGCCCCCGAGGCGTGGGTGCGATGTCGCTGCATCGACTGCGCCTTGGTCAACGGCTCTCTGGAGCTCCTGTTGGAATGGTAAGACGACAGCGCAGCGATGGGCGGCAAATTGTGGGTGTTGGCGTTCCTCTGCGCGGAAACGGGCGAGGGGTACGTCCCGTAAGAGGAGATAGACTCCGCAGGGTTGCTCTTCTTCGGGTCCGCCCCGTTGTAGGGCATCGTTTTGGATTGATTCATGTACGAATTGCTGTTGACCGCAGGACTTGGCGGCATTTGGGAGGTCGCTGGCGCGAGTTGGGTGTACGGCTGAGATCTGCTGGACTGGGAGTAGTAGTTCCCCCTCACGGGGTTCTTCTGGAAGGAATGGTACGACTGTGGTGGATAAGGACTAGGATAGGTGGTACCACTCTGGTAGTGCTGCGATGTCGTGGGCATATAAGAGTGCGGGGTGGACCTGGACACGGGTGGAGGAGGTGGCGGAGGTGGGTACGTTGGGGAGTGTGGCTGGAAGGTGTTGTGTGGCGAGGGGGTGTGGTGTGGAGAGGGGGTGTGATGCGGAGAGGCGTGTGGATTGTGAAGAGACGACACGTGGGGCGAGTGTCGATGGGGCGAGGGCGGGTGATGGCCCTGGTCGTGCGGCGAGGGCGTGTGGTAGGTGGACGAAGGTGGTGGCATCTGCTGGGAGCCGGGCCCGTGGGAATTGTGACCGACGACCGACATGCGCTGAGGATAGGGCGGTCCAGGATTGACGTGGAGGTGCGGGGAGGCGCCGACCCGGCCGGGATTCTGGGGCGACGGTGCGTGCGGCAGGTGCGGTGACGGAATGTGCGGCGGAAGATTGTGCGGCGACGGAATGTGACTGGTGCCGCCGTGATGCGGACTGCAAGGATTGGCCGGCGAAGGCGAGGAGTGCGCCACGGCGGCCGTGTGGCCCGCGGCCGATGCGCCGGTGGAATGCACGACGGTTGCCGTCCCGCCGTGCGAATTCGACGCCACGACCTGCGAGTGGCTCTGCGGCTGCTGGCCGAAACTGGACGCCCGGTAACCACCGACGTTGTGATTCTGCGACTGCGGTGCGTAGGAGGAGGCCATCTGCGAGGGGTAGGGCGCGGGCACGCGCTGCTCTGCCTGCTGAGGATGCCCCTGCGACGACGACGACGAGGACGAAGAGGCCGACGACGAGCCCACGCTCGTGACCTGTTCCACCGGACTGGGCCTGGTGGCTGATTGCTGCTGAACGGAAGTGGTGCTGGCCCCGGTCGTCGACTGGTACACGGAGTTCTGGCTCAGCGGCGCCGGGGCACTCTTCGTGATGTCCGGATGATGGTACCTGGGGTAGTACTGGGTCCTCTGAGCGACCATGGGCGCGGGCCTCTCGGCGACCTGGAAGGTGGCCTGGGGACCTACCAACATGTCCGCCGACGAGAAGGGGGTCCGCTGCACGCTGTTAAGCTGCTGATACACCGGGGCTGGGGAACGTGATTTGGCGGGCTGCATCTGGTGCAGCTGCGGCGACGGCGAGTTCCTCTCGTTCGGTTGCTTGGACCCGATGGAGTGCTGCTGGGTCGAGGGCTGCATCTCCGTCAGACTCACGGCGGGGGCCAGAGTCGGAGGCTGATCCGCCAGGGCGGATCCGCTGTCCGCCGGCCTCGTGTCTGGCACTTCCACCCTCGTCGGCTGGGGCGGGTACGGCTCGATCGGCCGCAGCTCGGACGGCCCGGGTGGGTTCCAGTAGGGCGCCACGGACGGGCCGTTCTCCTCCGACCTGGTGTCGGGGTACCGGGACCCGGACTCCTGGCAGGAACTCGTGGGCACCGTCGGGGTCGCCGCCGTTGGCACCTCGCTGCCATGGTCGTACGACAACGCCGACGTGGATGTCGCGAGGTTATCCGTCGATACGGTTCCTCCGGCCGTGCTTGGCGCGGGCAGTCCCTGGAAGTACTGGCGAGCCCCCTCCAACACGTTCGTAAAGCTCACATCCATGTCCCGCCTGCTGCTGATCTGCAACAAAATGAGAAGTCCAGGTTAGAACGGCGCTGATCAATCTCGCCACCACGAGGTACATCCGATCGACACCGTTAATCGATGCGTTCATTTTATCGGTACATGTACACTTGGGGAACAGTGCTCGCATAATCCGTGGCAGAGGTAACGAGGCCTCGGAAGGTCTCGGTTATTGCTTGGCTATTTCTTTCCTAGAGGCGGCAGGCATTTCCGACGACGTGCTCCAAGTACCCGGGAGAAATAATGGCCGATTCCCGTCTCGAGTGCTCGAGACAACGTGCTCATCGAAAGCCGATTTGCTTGGGAGCGTGGCTCAACGGTGGAGGGAACTCGCTCGGCTGTAATCGGCCAAGTGCAAAGCCGAGGAGGGAGTCATCCAGGAGAAGGTTATCAAGGTGCAGAGAGGATCCTCGGAGATGCCACACCGACGGAAATGCCGAACGGATCCCGAGCAAACAGAGTGAGAGGGACGAAAGCGATACGCGCGGAGCAAGAGAGCAAGAGGCAACATTAATCTTCATTGTCTTGCATTTGTCTGCCTTGTAGGAGGAGATCCGAGGATCGCGCGTTATTAATCTTGCGATGGTCGCGCGTTGGCGCTGATAAGATCATTACCAGGACACGCGAACCGCAGGATTTCCGGTTGCTCCCGTTTGTAACGGCTCTCTGCAAGCCGGTCGGAAATGGTCGGGGGATGGAAACGATGGAACGCATTAATTGAATCGTAACAATGGCGGACCGCTATCCCTTGCACTGAGCGTCTATTCATCGATTTCTCTCAAGATTCAACCGAGGAATTAATTTTTTAATTTAGGATAAAGACCGTAGATCCTCCCTTTGAATCATTTCATCGTTATTTCTGTATCCGCGTGGTTAATTTTTAGAGCGCGATGTGCATTATAAGGATCGGAAGAAAGCAGACATGCATTTACGGTACCATACATTTAATGAGAGATAATGGGCCACATGTTATACGACTTGCTGTCACGAGTCAATTTTTCGAAGGACGATTCAGTGGTTTGCTCATCATCGTTACAATGTTCGTCCATCACAATGTTCATCTTCGTTAATAAGTGTATCCTCTCGGTTGAATATAAAGTGCAACAATTGGTTCACTTTGTACTTCTCTTTGTGTACCCACGCTTGACTAATAATGCGACATCGCGGTGTGACCGAACCGACGTATAAAGATCGACTTAACCCTTCTGGATGCAGTCACGCATACTTTAATGCACTTTAGTGCACTTTAATGTACTCGTTTACTTGGTCGTCGAAAATTCGGTCCTAACTCTCCCACGCTCCTTGCACTTCATTTTATTACTTTTCCTTCACACCTCCGAAACTTTTCCTCGTTAACCATGATTACCAGTTATCGACGGATAACTAGGCACTTCATCTCCACATACTTCAATATCTCGGGCAATTCTTCACCCATGAAACTCTCATAAGGTTCTTAATGCGGAAAAAAAATGGCAAAATTTGAGAACACTCGAACAACAGTTGCCTTATCCATAATAAGACGCGATAACGAAATAATTCCCTGTATTTTTTATTACGAAGGTGAAAATGCGATTTCAAATTGGCACTTTTATCCACTCCAGAGGATCCCGACGGAGGCCGGAAAAATATCAGGCTTCGATTGGGATTATTTGTCGCCTTCACTGTTACGCCACCCTTATCACCGCCTGATTGGAACCTAATCAAGCGTTCACACATTTCCTGCGCGATCGAAAGAAAACACGCCAGCCCCTCGCGAGAAATAAATTCTTTATGGCGCGACGGAATTCTCCCTGGGTCGCCGATTTTTCTTGGCCCACTCCGTGACAAAGGTATTAATCAAACTCTCCTAAACAGCGAACAAACGTCGGATCCCAGAGAGAGACCAATAAGTTGGAGTCACACATTTATTTCCAAAGCGGCGTTTAATATATCAAACTCGTACAGCCGATATTAATTATTTCCGCCAGGTAATTACGATTTTATTTCCGCGAGGGCCGCAGGATCGATAATCGAACGCAGATAAATCTTGGGGGATATTACGGGGTGGGGGTCCGTGTTGTCGGTATACATCATGGAAATTTCTGAAACGGTCCATGCGGTCCGCCGGTACCGTAGCTTAACTCATTAACTCCCCGTGCTTCCTCCCGACCTCCTCCGTTCCCTCTCATTGCTGCGGCGGGTTTCCAGGCGTTCGCCTCCTGCCACGGCGCAGCCGACCTCGGCCATAAAACCGCCCTTTAACCTCGTTCCACGGGGGTGGCTCCCGTATTATCCGATGAATTAAAGTTTCGCGCGCTTTTAATGCCCTCGCATCGAGCGTGCTTCAATGGAAAGTCCTAATTTCCTTTCCGCGCCTTTCCATCCCTTTCATTGGATCTATCATCGGTTCGTCTTTTCCCTAACATCGAGTAAGCGATGCCTCTCTTCGGGGTATTCACTTAGGAAATCATGGATTTTAACCCTTTCGTTACCTTGGACGAGATATCTCGCGACCCAGTACTGGCCGATTAACCCTTTCGTTACCTTGGACGAGATATCTCGCGACCCAATACTGGCCGATCAACGCTTTTGACGAGATATCTCGCGACCCGATACTGGTCGATCAACGCTTTTGACGAGATATCTCGCGACCCGGTAATAGCCGATCAACGCTTTTGACGAGATATCTCGCGACCCGATAATGGCCGATCAACGCTTTTGACGAGATATCTCGCGATCCGGTAGTAGCTGTATTTATTTCTTCCTTTTAGCTATACGATTAGAATTAGTTATAAAATATATTCATCTAGAATGTCAAAATATTGGTGCTAGAAAGCTAGATTATCGTCAAAAGTGTTAATCCGCTACTACCGGATCGCGAGATATATCGTCAAAAGCGTTGATCGGCCAGTATTGGGTCGCGAGATATCTCGTCCAAGGTAACGAAAGGGTTAATACTAGGAGTCACTGGAAATCGTCGGAAATCACTGAAACATCGCCACAATATTAAGGCCGACTGTCACTCGTTACCAAATCGTACTGTCGCTTATCATACGAAATCAACGGCAATCGGTACTTAAAGGAAATCGTTTTCATTTCCGAGTGAATCGGCTATTACTTATCCCTTTTAATAATAAAACAAAAATACATATTTTCTATAACATAAATTATTATCCTTCATGCAACTCGGAGGGGTCGAAATACGATTTCAAACTTCGACGGGCTTTTCTTCGAGGGCCCCTCGATGTATCCGGCCTCTCCTAACAGACCTCTCGTTTTTATCGATCTCGGAAGGTCCTTGAACTAGTATCAGCCAAGGTGCTTTCTCGGCGCGATATATGTCGAGACGTGTTCACGGTCCGCCGAGAATATACTCGACGCCCGGACGCCATTACTCTCGATATACTAAATCCTTCCTGGATGCGAGCGTACGCGATACACGCACTCCGGAATTATCCCGAATCGATTTCCACGGCCATTTGGTTTCTACAGATTATTTTCAGGATTTCCACGTAAATATCTTTCGCGGGCGCGGTAGTAACGTGTACTTGGAAATCCAGGGGATATTTCCCACTCGACTCGGAATTGCGTAAAGGCGTTAAATTAGCAGATACGTGACGGATACCGGTACTCGGCCTAAGCCGTCCGTTGTTAGGAAACGTACTACGCGAGGGTTAATCCTTACCGTAAATCGTTCACACATAACCATTTTACTAAGTAATAAATATACCCAATATAATTTAACCATGAATTTCCGCGATACCCGATCACGCGCTTCCCTTCGTTAAATTCGCTAAATACCGCTTCAAACTGCATATTCAATATTTGCATCGCAGTAACGACCGAATCCACGAAAGCACGGATTTAATATCAATTGCTTGCACCTTCGTAATAGTCATTTTTCTGCGTTAAATACCTATAATTTAATTTCAGGGTGAAATTAAAAATTGGAAATCAATTTGTTGTTTCAGTCGGTCTTTTCCGTTGCATCTCTCTCCTTCTCTCTCTCTTTTTTTCTGAAACGATAACGTTAAAGCGCAAAGCCGCTCCATTACAAGTGCGTCGATGCGTTCAATTGCATTACCGAAGCCGCCGCGCGGAGAGATGCGCCTTCAAGGAATTATTCATCCCCGGCAACTCGACTAACGTATCCCGGTGTAAATTTAATAAAGGTTTTTTCTCCCGCGCGCACGCGACGCGCAGATGGAGGGAAAGAATACCGGGAACATAGCGTATAGGATAAGGTGCACGGCGGAAAGCCGTAAACGTACGTAACACACGGAAGCCATAGGGCAGCGAGAGCCGACTATGGTTTGCGTGGAAACGGTAGCGGGAATCAATATCGTGCACCCTTTCAGACCGGGAACCGCGCGGGGGTGTTGCCCCACGGTGAATTAGCGATGGCAAGAGTCCACATTGCCTGTTAAACCCACGTGGATTCCTCTCGTTCCCGCTTTGAGAAGCGTTTCTCAAACGAATGGCTCAATAAAACCTCCCCGTGAAGCCATGGGAAGGAGAGCGTCATTGGAAACGCGGCTGATTCCTGGATTAAATTTTCTTTTTCAACATTCATTCGTCCTACAAATTCGGTTCTTTGAATCGTACACGAAGGGATGGGTGCAGGTATTCGGAGGAATTCAGGAGAATTTATGGAAGGGTTGTTGGATGGACGATAAGTCATTTATTTAGGAATTTACATGACAAAGCGAACGGGGGAAACGAGGATAATTCCCGTGGGCGTTATCAATTTCCCGCATGGCCTTTCCGTGCGATTTAAGTCGCTGGCACGTTTCACCGATTACTCGGCAGGCGCAAAAAGGCGGCTTCTAAACCAGAAACTTTTTTATTACGACTGCGGTCCTGCGTCTCGTAACAAGTTATTTCCGACCCGTTAGCGGGGTAGACCGAAGTTACGCCGGGCTACGTGTAAACCCAATAAAATTTGGTTTATTCATGGTGAAAGGATCGCATTTTCGAGGCGTTCGCAGCCGATCTCAAGAAAGTTTCTCAATTTTACT